AGCTCGCGGCCGCCGGTGCCCCGCCTGGCCCGCGCGCCAAGGTCGCAGGTCTCCACGCTGCGCGTGACCTGGCGGCAACACCGCACTTGGTGACGTATTGTCACCAATGCCACCCCACCAGTACCCTGGCCAAGCGCTGCTTCCGCGAACTTTGCAGAAGAGCGTGGGTAACGCACTCTCCCCATCTTCCTCATTTGTGCAGCTGTAGGAGTTTGAATCAATTCTTTCAAAGCTGCGGGGTTATCAGATTGTGATGACAAACATTTACCCACCGGGCTCTTTGCTGAGGTTTTACAACTTCACGGCGACAAGATCGACCCCATTTAACAGACAGTCCACCGAGGCTGCAGCTCCCAAACCACTGGAGAAACTGCCGGGCACCCTGCGGGTTTGGGCAGGAGCCAGGCAAGCTGGACAGAGAGGAAAGACCGGCCTGGGATCTGGGAGACTTGGGTTCAATCTGGGCTTCGTCCCACTTCCGTGTGACCCTGGGCAAGTTACAGCACCGCTCTGGGCCTTGGATTTGTCTGCACTGAGAGAGGATCGAGCAGGCGAGAAGGAGACCGACATTTATGTGTTGGTTACTCTTACAGAAACTATTTCTTCTAAGTCTCAAAACATTTTAGAAGTAGTTTATTATTAACCCCAATTTCCAGAAGACAAAACTGAGGTAGGAGTTAAGAACTCGAAATTCGAACCAGGCAGGTACCTTTTCCCCTGTACCAGGTTGCCTCTCCGAGCGACAGGTGGGCTTAAATCCTGCAATGACGTCTCTGATCCCTCTTCACAGAGGGATGCATTTCTTTCCTGGGCCAGTCCTGCTCCCGAGACCCCCACCACCTGCCTCGCCTTTAAAACTATAGTGCGGTCAATGACAATTTGTCCAAAACAAAAAAAACAAAAAAAAAACTAACACGGTGTATGAGTCTGCGCCTTTAAGAAGAGTAGGCCGTGGCTTTGACGTCACTAATTTCCCCGCCCCTTACGCCCAGAATGGTCGCTCCGGGGCCCGGAGTCTCCCAGCCAGCCGGTGCACGCCGGATTAGCACATGGACTCCAAGGGGCCAACCATGCGCTTTCCCTGAGAAAAGGCTTTGCCGCTCGCCACTGCTCGGAAGCCCGCAAATGAGGGGCGGGAGAGAGTGTAACTTGTGATCAGTGAAGTGCGGCCGGTCCAAAGGGCCCGAGAGAAGGCGCACTTTACATTCCCCTCCCATACCAACTAAATTCTGAAATGACGCTAAATCTTTTTACAAACTATCACTTAAGGCGAGAACCCGGCCCCTATTAAGGTCCTTTTCAGCCTCAGTTATACGAACAGGTTCACGGAAGTTATACGAACAGCCATCAGCCAAGAGATGACTCTCCCCATTTTAGAGAGGAGAAAACAGAGGTCTTTATGTGTGGAGTAGAACTCAGACTTTTTCCACACACACGCTCCCATTTTACAAATGAGAAACGGGCCCCCAGAGATCAAGTTGTACCAAGATCACTCGAGACAGACAGAATTCAACCCCCCACCCCACCCCATCCCATTGCTTCTTGCAAAGGGTAAACCTCAGGCCCCAAGAACTACAAGAGATACAGCACGTGCAGGGCTGCATCACCCACCTGCCTCAATATCGGAGCACTGGGAGGCAGGGAACTGGCTTCAGTCTGGGCTGCTTCCTGCAGCAGATGTGGGACCTCTGGCAAGTATCGTGAGACCTCTAGCTTCCCCCGTTTATAAAATGAGCTGATGGGGATAAAAATACTCTTACCTTGCAGGAATTTTGTGAGGATTTAATGACTTAATAGCTGTAAAGTGTTTACAGCCCTGTCTGGCATGTGGCAAGTACTGTGACTATTACTGTTATTATTACTATTGATTGTCCCCACTGCACCTGTAGCACAGAAAGTTTTGGAAAGGGTCTTTAGAGCAACTAGGTTCTGGTCCTACCTCTGCCTCTAAACGCAGGCACAGATAGTGATAACTCCTTACCCGACCCTGGCTTCCACCCCAGAGCCAAACTCACACAGCTGCAAAGTAGCATTGCCAGGAATCAAACCTAGTGACCTCTGAGCTTCAGTTTCCCTTATAGTAGCATGAGAGGCTGGCACTCCATTTCTGATTTTCTTCTTGCAATAGGATGCCTTTGAGATTTGTCACTATACCTCAGTTTCCTCAGTTGAAAATAAGAATGAGGTCACCCATCCTGCTAACTTACAGACTCATAGCTAAAGTTGTGTCTGTGAAAAGCTATGTGGAGGGTAGACAAACAGTTCTGGAGCCCCTGCCATGGACCCAAGGCTGAGTAGATCACAGCCCCTGCCACCCTCCACATATAATTGTTTTGAGTCAGAGAAAACCTTGGGGGCATTGTTGGTGTGACCAAACCCCAGTGCGGTGGTGGCAGTCTGGGCAGGCAGGAGAAGTTATCCAGCACTGGAGCTGGTAGAGGTGCTTCCTAAGGACAATCATGGTGGCTGCAGGGTGGAGCCGGAGCCTTAAGATGCCCATGAACCTGTGGAGCCCTGGCTAGACTCAGCTGCCCTGAGAAGAAAGCCTAGAGGCTGGAGGAAGAGGCGGCGGCTGTCCTGGCTAACTCAGACATGGTTCACACTGACCACGCACCCAGTGGTCCTTCTGGAGGCAGCGTGTGGCCCTATGTGGCCATCACTGGCCTCCTTGCCAGATGGAAAACAGAAACTTTTTCAACTGTAAAAGGGGAGAAAATAGTACCAGCCCCAGGAGTTATTTCAGGGCCTGACAGGCAAGTCCTTGCCTGGCAATGGGGGAGCGACTTCAACAGAAGACAGTTTATTGTGAGGCTGAATTCTTTCAGGGCAAGCCCCAGCCTGCATCCCCAGGGCCTAGGAAGACATTTATGAGGTTGAAGTAGGCTCAGCTCCCACTCGTGGACTCCACCAGCACCTCTGAGTTCAGGGCCAGCCTTGTCCCCACCTAGAGGTGACTTCCTGGAGGCAGGGCCCCAGGCTGCAGGACCACCGAGCCCAAGAGGAGAAATCCAACCCCTGGACCCACAGTTAAATGCCAAGTCAGATCTTTTACTGGGCCCTGGGGGCAGGAAGGGATGGCGGAGTTACAGAGGACTTCACTGGGACAACCGCAGAAAACCGACTGTGGTCGATGTTACTTTATCAAACGTTAGATTTCCTGAGTGGGATCACCGTACAGTGGTTTTGTAGGGGAATATCCTTGTTCTTAGCGACTGCACACTGAGTGTTTGGGGATCAAAGTCTGCAACTTAGTCTCAAATGGTTCAGCAAAAACAGAGAGGTAAAGCCAATGTAGCAAAATGAACAACTGTGGATCAAGGCGAAGGGTCTATGGTGTTCTTTGTACCATTCCTGCAATTTTTCTGAAGTTTTTCTCTTTTAAGTTTTCAGAATAAAAAGTTGGTGGGGAAAGGGAGTTCTCTCTCTGAAACAAAAATATGTATTTTATAGAATCAGAAGACAACAAAGCTGTCTTTTTTGTTTTAAAACTGTCTTTTGGAAGATTAAAAAACTGAATAAAGTTAATAGCTAGTATCAGCCTACCTGGAGAAAGCCCTCTCTATCTCCCCCCAGCCCTCATTGTCTGAGAAGGGGGGCTCGGGAATTTCTGGACACCCAAGGCTTCACTGGGGGGAACCCTGGTGTGTTCTGAGGAGGTGGCCCCCAGAGGGGAAGGGTCCTGGTTGAGACTTTGCAGAATTGCCTCCGCCTACCTAGCCTGACTGCCAGAACTCGGGGGACAGGCTGTCTCCGTCTACTCTGCTGGGGAAGTGTGGATTAATCCACCTCTGTGGAAGGCGGTTTTTGGCCATAACTAACATTCCAAATGCGCAAACCCTGTGACTCAGCCAGGCCACTTGTAAGAATTCCTCCGCTGATTAGCTTGTACGTGTGCGAAATGACTCGCTTTTATCGTAGTCCTGCTTGTAACAGCGTAATGCCGCCGAAAGGGAACTGCCTGACAACATCTCCATATAATGAATACTACCTTGAAAGGAATGTGTAAAACAGTCTTAAAAATAACTGTTAAATTAAAAGGCGAGGCGCTGGAGAATATGCTGGGCGTGAGTTGTTCTCGCCCGGAGCTCTACTGCCCTCTAGGGGAAATTTGGGGGAATTTATGAGTCAGTTTGTTTTTGTCAAAAGATTGGAACCCCTGGCATTTCATAGATGGCAGGGCAAGGATGCTAATTGTCCACCAGCCTGACACAAGAAGGATTGATCCCCGTACACCTCTCAACTTTCCTTTGTCTTTCTGGACAGTCGTCCCACGGTATCCGTGGGAGATTTTTTCCAGGAGTCCCTGCAGATACCAAAATCCACCGGTGCTCACGTCTCTTAGAAGATGGCCTAGTACAACAAATACAGTTAGCCCTCCGTGTCCGCGGGTTTCGCATCTG